CACAAAAACAAAAACAGTTTTATTACAAAATAGTGACGTACATTCTTTAAATACTAAGAACAAGTTCACACCTTAGGTACTAACTTACACCGGGTCTAAGTTATAAATTGCACTATGGTCCGAGAGCTTATGATGCATTTGTCATAGTGTTTGATGACGCTTCTAGCGTTAGTAGCCTAATGGCAGGGCGCGCACCGTGAACTCGAAAGGTCGTGGGTTTCGAAACCATTCGACTACTGTCGCGAACCACTTCTAACACAAGCATTTTAAGGTTACCATAAGTGGTTAAAGGTAATATTAGTAATGTTTAATAGCATTACTAGTATTTTATAATAGAAAATTATGAAACTTTGTTGAAAAGTATGACTCCACTCAATAAGCAGGTATTTGACTGTTTGTCTGGCCTACCTGGGTACACCTGGTACTGCGTATACAGCTTAGTCGTAATAAAATTCGCCCAAAAAAGTGTTTGATTGAAATAACAATAATGACTGTCCGTCAGCTAAGTTGATAAAAAATTAAGAAAAAAATTGCCAGACAATTGTGGTTTAATTATTATTGTTTGAATTAAACACTTTTGGCGAATTTTATTGCGACTTACCTGTATGCGCAGTCCCAGTCCCAGTGTACCCAGGTGGTAGGCCAGGCAAACAAATACTTGCCTATTGAGTGGACTCACACTTTTCAACAAAGTTTCATGGTGCGTCAAACACTTCATGAAAAATACGTCATGAGCTCTCGGACCACTATAGGCCGAATACCGAACAACAGCCGAATATTCGTTGCAAGTCCAGTTTTTCCCGAATCAGTGGTAGAGCTTAAATTACTTTCAATAAGTATTCTGTAACTATCTCTATCCCACCAAAAACATTTTCATGTAAAATGTTGCCAAGACGAAACCATATGGCTCGCATCGGTCCTTCATAAGCATGTGAAGTTTGAAATCCATCCATTTTGAAGGGGATGAAAATCACATTCAAAAATTCCGTTACATAGATGCATACCAAGCTAATAAAAGCGTGTTAAAAAATTCTATTCTATCTAAAACGCTAGTTAGTGGCGCCCAGCGCGCTTTACAATACAATGTTAATGTTTACACTTTACAGTAGGCTGTTACTGAACGTCAAAATATTTTTATTTCAACACCTTTATTCTAATCCTACGGACTGGATTGAATATAAAGAATAAGCAGTTTTAGATATTCGTTTTATTTTATTTTTTTTATCACATTATCTTAAATACATTTTTAAAGTATTTGAGAGTTTTTGGAATAGCATCTATACAGGCAAAAGAAATGTCATAGGTAACACTAGATGTATCAAGTTTATATTTACATTATTATAAAAATATCGACAGATGTAAGCATATACGTCGTTGTGGTAAAGATGGTAAAATAGTTTTCTTTTATAAGAAAGGGGACAAACGTGCATGCGGCTCACCTGATGGTGTCTACCGGCACCCATGAACAAATGCAACACTAGGGGAATTGCAGATGCGTTGCTTGCTTTTAAAAAGGACTAAACTCGTTTCTTGTAGGTCCTGAAGTCGCATCCCTTAAATTGGTCAACTTACCTCGGAGATATCGTGTTACTTAAGTTGGTACAGAAAACATAATATGTAGTCTTTTGGTAACCAAAGTCAGATTTACATTATACTATAACAATTAACAATACTTTATGAAATCTTTAGCGGCCTACAATCGTAAAGATCGGAACGCGAAAACAGTTCGCGGGTTTCCATTAAATTTTATCGCTCTGAAACTGATCTGACAGTTCGATCTCGACGATTGTGCGAGCATCACGTGTGAACGCAAAACAAACATGTCAGAGGTGAGGATTTTAATACTCATTAAATACCTCGTCTTTTTCATTTTATGGACCTTAAAGATGTATATTATATGATCTATAATATATATTTAAACATCTATAATATACGATATAATATACCATATATCTATACTAATATAATAAAGGGGAAGCTTTTTTGTTTTTTTGTTTGTTTAAACGCGCTAATCTCTGGAACTACCAGTCCGATTTGAAAAATTCTTTTTGTATATTATAGCCAGATTAATGTGGAATAGTATAGGCTATCTAGCATTAAGCTATATTACTCAGCTAGCCTTAAATATGGATATTTGTTAAGCAAGTCAGAAGAAAAAGCACTCCCGAAATTATTTATCCGCGTACGCTGGTGTTATCGTTAGGGATACGTAAATACAATGTTCTAGAAAAATATAGACCTTTAATCCGTCTAAAAAAAGTCCGCGATACCATATGTCTATTTCTTATACATAAGCCATAATTTGGTATTTTGTGACAAAAAAGTATTGAAAATTTAAAAGTGATTTATGAGCGTTATTATTAGGCATGGCCTATTTATCCTTACGAACGAAAGTTACTTCATCATCAAGACAATTTTATGAAGATAAACTTTATTCTTTATACCACGTTATTTGGACGCATAGTTTAAGAGATAATGTAAAATTAAAATAATTCAATACTTGGCTGGGCGCGCGAACAACGCTTAAACCCTAGCCGTTATAAAATGCTTGAACTAGGTCATGTCGCGCACCTCGGACACGTGATGACGCGGGTGAAACCGCGGTGCACAGCTAGTAAGATATAATATACCTACCTCCTGTATTTGTACATCATATTACACACAAATGGTAACATTAAAAATTTTGTACAACCGACTTCAATATAAATTATTAAGGATAACTCAAAAACTATTGGTCAGACCTCGACCAAATTGCTGGTGCTTCTCATAACCCTTACAAGCTAGACGAACAATCCAAAGATGAGATCAGTGCGCCTATGGTTGCAACACCGGTCAATAGAAATATCTGGTCCAGACGAATGTTTCGTTCAAAACCCATGCAATCAGTTACTTCAACTATAGAAGAGGTATACATTTTGTTTGGTTGTTTGTTTTATACATATTAATATACCTACTTTATTTTCCTTCAATGCATATTTCAATTTTATAGGTATCGCCTGTTGAATACTTAGAAAAGTATTTCACAGATGTATATGAAAAATTCGCATTGAATACAAATGTTTACTATCAAACATCTAAAGACGGGGTGCTCAAACAATCGATTACTGCAGTTGAAGTAAAAAAATGCTGGTATTCTTGGTTGTGTGAAATATCCCAGAATCAAGATGGCGTGGCTACAGCGTTACAAGTTGCCGTACATAACAGATGCAATGGCAAGGGACAAGTTGTTTTTGATTATGACCAATTTGCATATTGTTGACAAAGCATCTGTTTCGACCGAAGAGAAATCTCAGAACCGTCTATGGCTCGTTCAACTACTAGTTGACGCAGTAATAGATGTTTGGAACTGCCAAGAAACCATGGCACCTATTCTATTGACGAGCAAATGGTCCCTTTTCTCGGAAAGTGTCCACTAAAACAATACGTGCCTGGCAAACCAAGACCAGTGGGCTTAAAAACTTTGTTATTACCACGTCAAAGGGCCTGATCTTAGATTTCGAAATATGCATACCAAGGCAATACTACACCTTTTCGTGACAATTCTCTAGGTTTAGGCCCGTCAGTTGTACTGTGATTGATCACTACAATACCCAGATGTAGTTTTATTTTCTTTGACAGGTATTTTACGAGTATCTCTTTGCTAGAAAAACTAGTGGCAGAGGAAACTGAATGCACTAGGACACTCATAACCAACAGATTTAAAGGATATCTATTTACTAAATATGCACAAATGAGTCGAGGTTGTGAACGCAGGAAGGAATGTTTGTGTAGTTAAATGGAAAGATAACAAATGTGTATTGATGGCGTCGATATGTATTGGTGCTCAACCTGTGGAGAATGTAAAGCGATGGGACAAAACAACTAAGAGATATACTGAGGTTCCATTCCCTAATACAAATAAAACATGGGTGGAGTGGATGTCAATCAGATGTTAGAATGATATACTTATGTCTTGGCATAAAACGCGATAGTGGCCTCTGAAAGTATTTATGCATCTCTTTGATATGGCGCACGTTAATGCTTGGTATGAATATACAGCATCTTTGTTGAATAAACAGAAACCTATGGATTTTCTTGATTTTAAGCTGACTCTGTCTGATTTTTTGCTTGGTGGCCCTACTAGAAAGAGGCAAAGTGATCCTATGGATGATTTGGCCGATATGCCTGTAACATCCCATTACAAACCAGCTACGATACCAACGATCGACAAAAGGCTCGATGGATACAATCACTGACCAATGTGTGATACAATCACTGGCTCCTAGATGTTGTAGATTGAACGGATGTAAGTCGATCCAAATTGAAATGCACAAAGTGCAACGTATATATTGGTAATACCAAAAATATCCACTGTTTATAAGCATTTCACAATGAAAAATAAGTAATTATTGTGAAATACATACAAAAAGTGCAACTTTGTTTAAGTTTTTTTTTTATATATAGTGTTTACGACCCTGTGATATAATTGTGCCTGAGAAAGCTAAGTTCCTAAAAAAGTTATAATTATTAGTTTTATTTATTAATTATAATAAAAAAGACTGATTTGTTACGTTAAATACTGAATACTAAGACTGTTTTTATAATAATTAAGGTTTAATTTCTACTAATAAATGATGTTATTTATTCCTTATTTTAAACACTCACGATCGTGAGTGTACCAAGCTTTGGCCCAAACTATCACAATCGTGAGTATCCTGAAAAACCATTTTTCAGTTTTCATATATTTTTGGTAGCATTTTCGTTTTTAGAGACCCAGAAATATCTAAAAACATTACTTTAAATTAAAAATATTTTGTCAGTAACATTCAGGTCTGAAAGGGTTATGGGACCACAAGAGAAGCACCAGTAATCAAAATAAAAAAGAATCATAAAAATTGGTTCATCTAAAAAAAGTTATGAGGTAACACACAAAGAAAACAGTTGAATGAGTACCTCCTCCTTTTTGAAGCCGGTTAAAAAATGAAGCTAGATTAAAATAATTAGCTAGTAGTATCAAAGAACTATTCTGTTACAATTTCTAAGAGTGGTTTTTTGTCTTTATCATTATTTACGGTATTATTATTTACAGGGTTCTTGAAATACATTGCTACGGCAATACTAACCAAACATATTGACAAAATTGTAAATCCTGTAATCAAAATATTAAATAAAATATAACACACTACAGCAGTTATTATTAATTCTAGAGCACTAGCATATGTCTTTAAAATAGAGTTCAGATTCTTTAGGAAAAAGCTAGTTACAATACCAACAATGGCACTATTTACTATAATAAGTATTACTATTATATCTTCTAGTGACTGCATATCATTAAATATGGTATTTACTTCACCTTTGTAAAATAAAATTAAAAAATTACAGATTACAGAATCAAGATACATAAACACATTTTGCAAGAATATATCGACATTTAAACCTTTTGTTTTCAACAAATATTCATTGTAAGTACCAGCAAGACAGGAACAAAAATTCTGAAAATTTATAGATAAAAAATAAATATTAAAGATTTGAGACCACAGATCTGTATCACCTTTAGATTGTATTGATGCAGCATCAAAGTTTTTGATCATACATCCCAATGTTAAAATGCATAACGAAACCCATTGCATATTTGTCAATTTCTTGCTGAATAAGAACTGGAAAAATTTATGTCATTAGCATTATAATCTTCAATTAATGGTAACAGCTTTAAAAAAAAGGAATGGTAAATAAGAAGATCTTACCTGAAATAAAAAAGCTGTAAGTACAACTCTGAATTGTAGGAGTATGTAATATGAAGTGGGATCATAATGAGACAAATTAATAAATGCCAAGTTATTGTAAAAACAATATAACAAGGACGGAATGAAGTACAATAGGAGCAGATTGTAATTGATAGCAATCGCTTTAAAAAGGTGAGGCTTATTTCTGAAACAGAGAAGAGTAACTTCTGTTACACCATATACATGATTGTCCATGGGCGATTACATAAATGTAAATTAGTAATGTAATATTATAACAATGTAATTATTATAACATGTAAGCAATGACATTTTTTTTATTTGGCATAATTATCCATATCTATGCATAAAGTAATCAGATGAGAGAAAGAGAAAATTTGCAAATAAAATTCATATTTGTTTGTCTAATTAAACTTTTAAATCAAAAGGACCACTATAATTTTCGGATAATTGCGAGGTAGATATAATGTTAAAAAGAACCTCAAACCTCAAAATGAAATTCCTGTCGCAATGTAGACCCAAAAAATAACCAAGAGACAGCAAAGTGGGTGCAGTAGCTAAACATTAACTTGCAGCACTGAGGGCCGCAAGTTTGCATCCTACATTTGGAACAAGGATTTGTATGGCCTACAAAAAATTGTTCCAGGTCTGGATGTTTGTCTTTGTGCAATTTAGGTATATAAAATTCCACCATGATACAACTGATTATCCTATTGTGAGTTATTATAGTTATATTTCTTTTAGAGTATATATTCATCATGATCATTCATCGTTACAGCCGTTCACAAGTCCACTTCTGAACATAGGCCTCTCCCAAGGAATGTTACATAACCACCTGCATCCATCGACTTCCTGCATGTCTTACCAGGTCATCACTCCATCTAGTAGGGTGTCACACTACACTTCGGCTACAGGTACGAGGCTGCCACTAGAGAACCTATTTTCCCCTTCGTTTGTCGGTTCTTCAAGCTAAATGGCCGGCCCATCGCAACTTCAGCTTACTAACCCGTTGGACTATGTCGGTCACTTTGGTTCTACTACCGATGTCCTCATTTCTAAGTTTATCACACAGAGAAACCCCGAGCATAGCCCTCTCCATAGCTCGCTGAGCGACCTTGAGCTTCCTGATACGGCCAGCAGTGAAGGACTACATCTCAGATCCATAAGTCATCACTGGCACAATGCACTGGTTGTAGAATCTCATTTACAAGTTTTGAGGTATACCTAATGAGAAGATGTGTCGTAATTTCCCAAACGCTGCCCAGCCAGAGTATATATTTTTCAGTAGGAAATATTTACATTTAGCTTTTGACATAAAGCAACCTAGTTGTACTTACCAGGTGGTAAAAGTCCGTTGTTGCCTAGAAGTTATATGGGTGGATACCACCCTCTTACCTACTTTTGCTGCCAAGCAACAGTGCTTACACTGGTGTGTTTCGGGTTGAATGGTGTAGAGCCAGTATAGTTACAGACTGTGAGGTATTCCATCTTAGTTTTCAGAGGTGGCAACACACCAACACACTCCTTGGTTTGAAGTTGTTTGCAGGTGTCCATGGGCTACAGTAGCCTCTAAACAATAATGCTGTAAGGCTGTAATTTCGTTTGTCACTTTAAGCACATCTAAAATAATAATTAATATATTCTTTTTTAAAGATCTTACCTACTCACAAACTTCATTTGGTACTAGAATGCTATTTTTTTTTATTTTTGTATTAGATACCTATGCTAGCTTAGGTGATAAATTTCATAGTATGTTAGCATTTTTACTTTGTTCCCTGTCAGCACCAATGAAATTGTTAGTTGCAATTTTATATTTTTTTTTATAGAAATAGGGTGACAAACGAGCACACAGTCCACCTGATGGTAAGTGGTTGCTGTGGCCCATAGACATCTACATCTATCCTCGCTTGCAAGTTAAAATGCAGATGTGTTGTCAGCCCTGAGGACTATGATGGAATGCCTCTTTCCCAGTAAAAAGGGTCTCCGGTTCCCTACACTCACCATACGAAACACAGAAGCATTAAGCTGCTATTTTACGCTGGCATTCTATGTGAGTGTGGTCCTTCCCCGGTCGAGCCGACCCACTAGTGCTACAACTACACCAGTAATATAGCTGCAGCATGGCTCTACCACGTTAATATGCTGATTTACCACATTTTCACCATTGAAGGAAAACATGCAAAAATCTAAAAAATTAAAAGAGAAATATTTAAACACTGTGAACTGCCTCAACATTAATGGAAGCTGCATGGCAGTCTTTTGGCAGCTCCAAAATCCCCTGTTCTTGTGAGCAACACCATGATACTATATTTTTCCTCACATTTTAAAAATAAGTATATATAAAACAATGGCATCCTTTATATAACATGAAACCTATTATCATAAATACACAATAATACTTACTCTCTTTTATAGGTGTAAAGGGTTGCTGATATGAATAACTTTAATAATTCTGATAGAAATACAACAAGTGTAGTGTTGTAGTCATATCCACCATTTTCAGTTTTTGATGCGGTAACAAAGACTCCTTAAAATGTAAATTAATAACAATATTGTATAAACATTAACAAAAAACCAATATAGAACAACAAGTTACTTTTTCCTACAAATTAAATATATTAACAGATAAACAAGGACACCATAACAGTAATTATTATATTAGATTTTTTTTTATAGGATAGGCTGACAAGCGAGCATACAGTCCACCCGATAGCAAGTGGCTGCTGCAACCCGTAGATATCCATATCCACCCCCAATAAAGAATCAAAATATGCTGTCACCTGCAAGGACCAAGATGGAAAGCCTCTTTTCGAGTAAAAAGGGTCTCCAGTTCTCTACACTCACCATACGAAACACAGCAGTGTTAAGCTGCTATTTTACACTGGTATTCTGTGAGAGCGTAGTCCTTCCCTGGTCAAGCCTACTCATTCATGCCACAACTATACTACTAATATATCTGTAGCATGGCTCTACCACATAAAAGAAAAATTCCCAATATATTTCAAAAATAATAATTTGCTATTCAGTTCAGCATGCAAAAATAAAATTATTTGTATTAAGATCCTTCTAATCTCAAATTGTGCAAGAGGCACAGATGGATTATTGCAATTCTTTAAATTTGTGGGTGCTCCCATGTTAATATTTAGCCAGTGACTGAATGTCCAATGATAATGACCAATGTGTGTTCATTATCTTTATCGACGTACTATAAATGTGATACAACTACATTGGAGAGTTGCACACTTTTCAAATTAGAAGGACTACTTCGAAAATCACTAAGCACATAATAGTATATTTTATATTTTAACAAATATGTTGATAGTGATTTTACTACTAATCGGATACTATATAAAAACTTATGTACTTTTTGAGTGATTGACTTTATTTATATAAAACATTTCAACTAACTTTCACTGCCACCACTTGGTGCATGCAGATTTCAGCAAATGATTTTATTTTATTTTTAAGTTTAGGGATTGCTTGTTTACATACCTTGAAATACAAATAAAATTATATACAATGAAAATATAACAAAAGCTTCTTTATTAGGAAATAACTTCTTAAACTCATTCATTTTTATTTTGATTATCTGATAATATTCACTATCACTATATTAGTATCAACATTATTTTCTCTTCCAATTCACCCTCAAAGGAACTTTGATTAATTAGATAGGAAAACAGGCAAACAATATTACTTCAAGAAATTTTTTGTATGCACGATCTACTGGGTAATAACTTCACTATATTTTATATTGTAAAAAGTGAACAAAATCTTGATATAATCATTAATAGTCATGAATACAAATCACTGTAGCAAGATTTACAATCTACATATATATTTATCTATGTTTACAATTAATAGTTTTACCACTGGTTGTGTTATAACCCAGTGTGACCATCTTTAAAATACAGATCCTGCCTTACTTTGGTTAAAAACCTGCCAAATCCTGCCAGTCTGTAGTGAAAAATGCCTAAATACTGCCAACTTAATTTACCATTGTCTAAAATTGTATTAAAGTAAGAAAAGTAAAATGGAATCGCACGCCGTGTCGCCGCATGCGCCGACTCCCCCGCCACCCCCGACTTCCCCTTCTCAATCATTAGCTCCGGAGAAAGAATTCATTTAAACTTTAGCTGTTTTACCAATTCTTTGGGATAAGACGAATAAACAATACGTAAATAAATATAAGATAAACGAGGTGCTGCGAAATTACTAGTAATTATGAAAAAAAAACCCCAAGCTAACGTAGAAGATGTGAAAAAGAAAATTTATACTTTAAGATGAAACTATCGCCGTGAATTCTTTAATTTTTTCTTGTTAAAATCCATACCTAATGCGTATGCGCGTTATCGCGTAGAAGTTTTCGGTTGGACTGATCATCAGTCTGACTTACCGTCTAATACCGCCCGTCAATCCATCATTCAGCCATCAGTCTATACGTGATCAAGGTCACAGACTGAACTGACGCCAGATTGAGCGTGTAACCTCCGACTAAGATCTTTTCAGTCACGACCCCTTCTGATGCAGTGTAGAGGGCCTTGCGAGAAAGGGAGATGAAATAGTATCCTTCTCCCTCGCACTTTTTATTTTTTGCCATGAAATAAATATTATTTTATTTTAAATGACACGTCATTTTTAGACGCTAATAATTCATTTATTTTTATTTGTTAATCAATAATATAATACGTTTATCAATAATAATACACTACGAAAGGAACTTCGTTCCAATCGAGTTTTCCACGACACTCACGGATGTTTTTTTTTTGTTTACTAGCAGTGGCATGCTCCTTTAAAGCAGACAGACGGGATGCCATTTTGGAACTGATTATCTTTAGCTTTGAAGATCCACGATGAAAGTAAAGGACTTTACTCCACTCCGCTATATACGCTGTTCATATTTTCGCTTCATCATCACCACCAATAATTACTATCGTCCACGAAACTTCAACAAAATATCGCTAACAAGATATTGCCACCACGAAATCTAATGCGATAACAAACTAAAGTACGTCTCTTCTATGACTGATTGAAATATTAACCATTAACTCGTGTTTACGAATACTCGTTTTAAGATTTTCAACTTTACACCCATACTTTTAAATTTGTTTATTGAATGTGTTACAAACATATTACAAGAAATACAGGGAAATCCCCCACATGTTGGCAGTATTCGGGTATTAAAAATAGATTCCACTATGGCAACTTAAAATGCCGGAAATGGCAACTCTATGAACTTCACATAGGGTCCAAATACTGCCAGGTTTTATACAACGTCAAATGATCATGCCAGAGGCTAAAATAAGAGGCCAATCCTGCCAAAATGGCAGGAACCTGCCACATATGGTCACACTGTTATAACCGGTTGTAAATATACAGTATAACAGTAATCTAAATGTATGCATAGTTGCATAGATTACCAAAGAAAAATAGAGAATAAGGCCGGCCACACACATACGGAATCCCGTTTTGCCCGCAAAATGTCGAATGGAAAACGACCGTACGTGTGTGGCGGGTCATAGATTTTATATGGACTTGCTGCGTTCGGGATTCCGAATAGGAATATCGAAACGGAATTCCGTTTCGTGACTCCATTTCGGAATCCCGATTCAGGATTCCATGAATACATCACACACACGCGTCTTTTTTCCGTTCGGAATAACAAGGGTGAGTCGAGAGACGTTAGCCATTGAGTCTAGACATTCTTCCAGTGAATAATGACGACGATTTTCTAATTGCGATTCCATTGTTGCTGTATCATTCTTACTAGGTGCATCCCCTTATCACCCTAAGCTTGCAATATAGTCAATACTATGTAAAAAGATCTATCTATCCAGAGATATTTTTTAAATATTTATGTATGTAAATTCTTTCGACGAATTATTAAATAAAATAAGATGAAAGGTTACGAAAAGCTATACACCTACAAGATTAAATGTTAAAACATATATAAATACAACTACTCGCTTCGGTCGTGCGACGAACACTGAGCGCATTCCGCACGGAATTTACGTATGTGTGTAGCGACTCGTACAAAATCTATGGAAGACGTGCGTTCAGGATCGTTTTTTCCGTTCGGGATCTCGAACGCACAGGCGGTCATACGGAATCTCGAATCGGAGAAATTCCGTACGGAAAAATAACGTACGTCTGTGGCGGGTCATAGATTTTATATGGACTTGCTGCGTTCGGAATCCCGAATCGGAATATCGAAACGGAATTCCGAAACGGAATTCCGTATGTATGTGGCCGGCCTAAGCAGTAAATTGCATATATATTTTTTGGTTATACAAATATCATGCTAATATGAACCTTGCCAACAAAAATATATCTGTCTCATTCTCACACGTTATTGTTTTGCAATTATAAAAAAAGATAAGTACATATCTTAGACTTCAATTTTCTGCTGACAGTTTTCATAATTTCACTAAGCTCCATCTTGAAGTATGACGCCATTTTAGGATGACGTTGAACTGAACGTCAATAACGGTTTTACGTATTTTTGGTGTCATATTAATTATTTTAAGTTTTCGTTTAATATTCTGATTACATTCCTAATTTATTATAGTATATATTAATAATATTTATCTGTATTTCCATATTATCACTCATTTAGCGACAATTTCTTAGTATTAGAAAATAGTCTAACGTAGCGTTAGACTCTCACAGTCGCCATGTCTAATCCATCTATTCCGCCTAAACCTCCGGATCCGAATTGCTCAGATCCTAACATTATTTCCTCTCCAGCTGCTTATGTCGAAATTCAAAATGACTTAGAAGGTTCATTTAAAAAACCATGGCAGTCATTATCGCAAGAAATTTTTGATGACAACTTCAAAATTATTTCCAATAAAAAGAAAAGGAAACATAAAACGAAAGAAAGGAAGAAAGAAGAACATGCTAATCGGGTTGACTTAAATAGAAAAATTTCAGTTTTTTCCACCAATTCTTCATTCTCAGAATCGGATTGCGATAATGGTAATATTTCTTCATCTAAAATTAAAATTATGGGATCTAACTCTAACCAAGGTAACATATCAGGACAAAATGTTTATGAATCTCCCATGTCTTTATCATCTAATATTGCGTGTACTCAATCATCTTTAATCCCCCTTTCTCAATCATCTGACATTCCTTTACCACAAACATCAAATTCTGCCTATAGTCATATCTCTTCTAAATCTCTTAACACAAGTATAAATGGGGATAATGCAAAAACAGATTCTCAAAAATTTCAATCTCTTCGCCCTTATAATTCTACAGATTCGGGTCCTTTTATCGTGCATGTTCAAGTAAAAGAAGATTCTCCTAATTCTGGTAAGACTTTAAATGCTATTTCTTTTGGTCACTTTTTGAAAAAATTAAATATTCAAAATATAGTTAATGGAGGCCTAAAACGTATCGGGAGGAATAGAATTACAATTGAATTCTCTAAATTTATTGATGCAAATCTATTTTTAGAAAATCCCTCTGTAAATGATAAATATAAAACGTTTATTCCATCCTTCCACGTATCTCGTATGGGTGTTATAAAAGGTGTACCAAAAGATTGGACACCAGAAGATATTATTTCTGAATTATCTACGTATCCAAACACTATTCCTATATTAAAAGTAAGAAGATTAAATTACCGAGTACGCAATGAAGAAAAACTCAGATATGAAAGCTCTGAAAGTGTCGTAGTCACATTTGACGGTCAAATTCTTCCCTCGAGAGTTTATTTTTGTTATTCTTCCATCCCTGTTGAAATTTATAAACTTCCAACCATTCAATGTTTTCAGTGCTGCAGATTTGGACACACTAAAGATTTATGTCGTTCCAAGCCAAGATGCTCAAAATGTGGCGATGATCACTCTTCTTCTTCTTGCGATAAAGATAATGGATCTTTTCGTTGCTTATTCTGCTCAGGTAACCACAAAGCTACGGATTCTAGATGCCCTGAACACACACGTCAAAATAATATTAAAATCGAAATGGCACAAAATTCAATCTCATACCTAGAAGCATCACAAAAATATCCCCAAGTTTCATCAAAGTCATATGCTGATGTTCTGATATCAAAAAACCCTATAAACTCTTCTCTTTCTACTAATCCTTCAAAGGATCATTTTCCTTCACATGCTGCTTCATCTAGTAAAACTTCTTATAAGAAATCATTATTTATTCCTAAATCATTCCGTCACCATACACTAACAGGATACGATAAAAAAATTCATCAAAAAATTATTGAAGATTTTTCAATTCCACAACCAGAGGATGGTTGTGCTCTTCGGGTTTCACGTGATACTTCACAGGGTAGTTTTAATTCTATAGAAAGCATCATAAATTCCCTTATTAACATAATGTTACGCGCCACTATTAATGTCTTGTACATGGCAACACTAGTTACACTAGCGCCCCCTAGTGTCGAGTAAATGAAAGCATTGCGCGCCACTATTAATGTCTTGTACATGGCAACACTAGTCACACTAGCGCCCTCTAGTGTCGAGTAGCAGAACTAGGAGAGTCGAGATCCTTCCAGAAATTTCGGGACCGATATGTACTCGAACATTCTAGATGTCGCTACAGTAGAAG